ATATATATATATATAAAGCTGACAGCCGTCGAAGCCACCGGTTTCTTCTTTGTTTTAAACACGTTCACGTTATCCTTTTTCTACATCCCTGTTTTTAAATTATATGAATATCTCCTCTCGCACTAGTCGTTATACCTCTGATATATCGGCTGAGTCGCACTGGAGTTTTGTAGGTGAGTAGCCTAGCTAGTAACTACAGGGCACAATACGAATAAGATGGGTTCCTTCATGACGGCTGGCGGGTTGTCAGGCAGTGCGCCTTTTTGGACCAAAGCGCTACAGTGCGACGAGGGACAAGAACAGAATCCACACATTCAACAGTTTGTCCGACCAGATTGCCCGTGCCTCTTCAAGTGCTATGCAGTGTTGTGAGTGCGGAGAGCACATTTTCTTTGTGCTCGGTGAGATGGCCCTCTTAAACAGGCCTATAGACCATGTGTCATTGACGTTGCTAGCAATCATGTCGAACCGCATTTCGGATAGCCCATCTTGTGGCCGTTTGCAGTAATTCATTGCCCAATATCTGTTTCACCCTTGCATGTACATCCAAGAGTCTCCATCATTGTGCTTTCTTTGTCGGTTTTGTTTGGTTTTGGGGTGCTTGTTGTCTTTGTGTTTTTTTGTTATTTGGCCCCCTTTCATGTTGGAGACTCTACAAAAAATTGCACAAACTGACCTGTGCACTTCCTGCATGAATGGCGGCTCGACTCGTGCAAAAAAACAGCTTCCACACATTCAAGTGTACACATCAGTAACCTAGAAAAAGTGAACACGCCGCCTCAAACATGGGCAGTCGCCCGTCGGAGTCCATCAAGTCCTGTGCTACTTCCAACGTGATTACATTTCGACCTTTAATTTTCAATTGAAGTGGGTGCAGGTCTACCAATCGAATCGGATGGTGCCTCTGTCTTCATTTTGCACCGTCGCCTGTGGACTTGCTCGCAGCTACAGGATTTGGTGACACAGTGTTCATTTCAAAAGTCTGTTTGTGATAGCACCGTCCAGGTCAAATTATGTATTACCTCTTTGAGGGAAACACAGGAAAGCAGACCCACATCCCAACTTTGCCGCTATGTATGGCGCCGGCAGAAGCAGACCCTGCTGACTATCGGCCAGAGGCATTGCTGGTGGAATTTTCACATGTGAGCAAGAGAAGATTGTCAACAGGTGATTTCGATAACCTTTGTGATTTGCAGAGCCTGGTGAATGCTTTTGTTGCCAGTAAATTGGCCAATGCCCAAGTTTGGCAAACCATACCGTATTAATATTATATAAATAATTGCTTGCCGGAACTGGCAAAGTGCCCATGGGTCTTTGCTACACTTGAACCCTTGGACCCGTCCCAGGCGGACGTTGAACGCTTGGCGCGTTATTTCGCCCAACGTTATGGGGGCGATGACAGCCTACTGGAAGCCCGCAAGGCTTTGGACCCGGAGGCCCTCAGTTGGCGCGCAGGGACAGTGCAGCATTTGACGATGCGTTTTAGTTCTGATGGTCAATATCTACTAAACACAATCAACAAAAATATTTTTCATCTCATTCGCCTGTCGGACATGTAGAGTGAAAATTTGTAGCCGTCAATGTCATGTGTCCTGTTTTGTTACCACATGCATTGAAAAATTGTTGCCTGCAACATTTTGCCTTGCTTTCCACTGTGTTTCAGAAAAGGTTGCGCGCATTTCAGCGCAACAATCAATGTTGGACGTACTTATATAGCGCAGCATATCGGAAACTTATATACGTTCCCACCTCAATGTTCCCAATGTGGCCTTGATGGTTTGTCTCCATGTGGTTTCGCCCCGGCTGCCTGGAGGCTAAATCTCTGACATATAAGGGCTTTCACACAGCATTCTACCTCAGCAATATCTAGAAATTTGGTCTTTGGACACTCCCACGCGACAGGTGTTTGCATGAACATGGTCAGTTGTTCGTCCAGGTCTCCTTTGATCTTCCAGCTTTTGAGCAAGCGCTCAAGAAGTGGGGTGTCAAGGCTCGCTGGGATGAGTGGATGGCTCGAATCAAAGGGTTCAAGCCTTGCACGACGCAGGATGCGCAAGGCTCCCGCAAAGTGAGCTGCTTCCAATTGCAAAGTGAGCGGCTTCCGTTAATGACAGCTGTACTTTCAAATGAAGGAAATGGTGCCGACAGGTCGACAATGCGGTGGAACTCTTTTCGCACATCGATGTGGACTTCAGTGGCAGCATCTCCGTGGAGGAGCGATGTCCAGCGGTAAGGCAACCATGTTTGGAGCCAGATTTTCAGTCTCAAAGATATAGCAACAAGAACAAGGGCATTTCTACTAGGAGCAAGAAGCTACTAGTAGCTCCTGGCATAACTACTAGTAACAAGGATGCTACTAGTAAGAAGGGCATTTCTACTAGGAGCCAGAAGGGCCTGTTCTCAGATCTGAGGAAACGATTCCACCCATGAACTTCCCATGGAATCATTTGTCCATGAACGCCTTTGCACCTTTGCACCATGAGCCACTGCAAAGACATGAACCGACTGGGCGGAAGCAGACGAACGTCTTACTTGGTGCTTTGGCCCCATTCCCTATGGATTCGTCGACTTCCAGGAGCTCTTGAATGTCCTGGGCTCCCCGGTGGAAGAGATCACACGGAGGGAGCACCAACGGCAGCGCCAAGAGGTGAAGAGGATCTTCGAGGCATCGGAGCCTTAAGAGACCGACCGAGAGACCCTGTCAATCTTTTCACTGTAGGCAGCAAGCTCAGTCACATCACTTTAGGGTCACAAGTCTGGGTGTTTCTTGCGATGTATACAGACGTCCCTGAAATAAAGAGAACACATACAGTACACGGTATGGACACTATGATGCAAAACGTTCCGAAACGACATTCGGAGTATACTGCATGTATTTTTTGTTCGGATCTATTTGTCACCATCTTATGATTGTCATGCATCATGCAATAATTCAATATGCAGACTGAGTGGCTGAGCGAACGTGACTGGAAGCTGTCAAACCTGAAGCACTTTAAAAAAGGTCAAGGTTGATGACCCTGTGAGGAATCGAACATTTACATTTCCGGCCGATAGCTGTCACGTGTTCTTGGCCGCGGGACAATCCTGGGCGGCTTTTTGCAGTGCGGGTGATGAAGATGTAGTGAGTGCTACTCAAGACCCTTTGTGTTTGCAACATGAACATCATCATTCTGCGGTTTGGTATAGAAGTGTTAGAACCTAAGGAAAAACAACATCATCACTGGGCAGCCTAGGTTTCTATGCGTTTCTTGCCTGTGGGACCGTCCAGCGACAGGGACTGGCACGCAGCATCGTTGAGAAGTTCGGCAGCATCGAGGCGCCTTGATCGTTCGATCCGCAAAGCGAATCCACATGGTATTTCGGATGGACTCTGAATGATGAGGATGTCCGTGTCATGAAACCATGAGGCGGGCATGAATAGGTAATGTCATGTCTGGAAACCACTGCCATGTCAAGAAGCCCAAGGAGTCATATCAGGAAACTTTGACTGGATTGCCTGGATATGGCATATGTAACATATGTATGTTTCTAATACAAAGGCTTCTTTTGCGACTTTTGCGATGTGCAGAGGATGCCTTTGCCAAGTACGGCCTACATGGCACTGATTCATCACTCAGTCTGGCACAGCACAAGCCTCAGGCTTGTAGTCTCTCTTCTGACTTGGCTTCGGAAGATCTTGCGATATACACAGTATGGTTAACATGAGATGACCCAGTTCGCCACTTGCTAAGCATGACAAGGTGAGTGGGCTTTTGAAGCAAATTTTGTCCCTTGATGTTAGTTTTTCAGTTTCCTTGAAACGAAACCCTTCTGACGAAACCCTACGGATTGTTGCCTAGTCAAAGATGGAAGTGGCAGTGACCCCTTGGAATTTGTTCGATAGCTGAGCCAAACTAATCAGAACGTAGTGCGCTGAGGTTGGGAAATCTGGCAAAGCGGCTGGACATCGAACTGGAGCCAGGGGTGTTGCAGCGCGTTTTCAACGAGATTGACGAGGCGGGTGGGTGGTTGTTGGCACACGTCAGGCGGAGAAGATGCTAGGACAGGCAACATACGTGCTGGGACCGGGGACCCCAAAGTGGGGTCCTAGAAGGTAGCGCTTCCGAATTTGTGAATGCTTGGAACGTGGGTGCACCCCGCTGAGAATTAGGATCTTCTCATTCGGCCCTGGTGACTGCTCGGGACTGCCCATCATTCGGCGATCCCTCGTGACGAATTGTTTTTGGTCACCCTGGGGTCCACCCTTTTGACACACATCGATGCACGTGCACTTGTATGTGCTAGGTCTGCGTGCCAATTCGTTTGTACTTTCTACCGGCCTATGAAGAGCTTTCTGTGCGCCCTGCCTTTGGACAAAGCTTGTCTCCTTGCTGCTTCTTGTGAACTTTTTGTCTTGGATGTGTGCACATCCAGTCCGCGCCACAGGGACAAAGAATTTATATAAGAAAGTGAGGAACCACTTGATCAACATAACGGACGTAGGGTAGATTAATGGATAGAATGACAGTACACTTGTAACTTGTAGATGAAGCCAAAACGGCCATGAGTTCTTCTTAGCTAACCGCTTGGTGACGTGAGTTTCTGCCTTTGTGCACGAAGAAGCTCACGATGAGGACAATACCAAGAGCATCTCCGTACAAGAGTTGCAGAAGGCCTTGATGTACCATATTGTGGGCTTTGTGGTGGTCGTGAGCCCAGGATTGAGAGAGATGATGGCCATGATTATCAGATTCTACGAGCATTTTCTTCATTCAGTATCCTGGAAAAGGTCCTTTTCTTTGGGAGCATGAGCATGGGCAAGAGAATACATTTCTCCTGCTATGCTTTCCAAGGTTGAGGTGGCCAACTTCTTGGAACAGAAGCCTGGTGGAATTGTGGAAGCCTTCGGGGAGTTCATTGCTCCGGGCTCTGTGCCCAAGGTGAGACCGGCACAGGGAAGGGGATGTGATGATAGGGCCGGTATATATAGAGGCGAAAGTGGAACATGTGGGCAGCAACGTTTGTCCATTTTTCTTTTTCTGTGGCTGTTTGACTGTTTGACCATGTTTGAGCTCTCCAAGGATTGAAGATCACGAGAAGATGTCTGACGGTCGTTTGTGGAAGCATAAGATCCTTATGGCGCTCCTGTTCAAACAAATCCCAAGACTTTGGACGGAATTGCTTGGATTATTCTTTTTCTCTCAGAAGCGGTCTTGCGAGTGGAACAATTCGAGGAGGACATGGGATGATGTGCTGTGATGCATCAGCAACACAACGAACCTCGAATTCACATGGTTCAATGGAGGGCCCTATAAAAACGGATTCCATGGTTCACATGGTGCTTCCACGCGCCCTACTGGGAACCGGCATGACATCCATGAAATGCACTTCAGACTCCGAGCGCCATATGCATGCCACGGGGATGCACATTAAATATCAAGAACCCCCATGAATAGTCTTCTTGAGATTCAAATATCTTGAGCCACCAAGAACTGATCAAATATTTAACACTTGTTTGTGTGAGTCAGCGGAATGCACGAAACTGATACAGTCGCTTCCTTACAAGCACCGCCTTCACATCGGGTTCTGGTGGGGCACCCTCGACTCCAGGTGGCCCCGCCCGTGCTGCCGGGGGCGCCCAGGGTGCCGACTCCTCCAAGGTTGCCGGTGGGAGAGGCGCCCTTCGGGTGGGTTTCAATACTGAGATGAATCTCCCGTTCACGGGCAAAACTGAAGGTGGGATGGTGGGTGACTTGGGTCAGCCACGCCCCAATTTTCACCACCAAACCCATTCGCCTGCTGCTAGCGGCTAGCGATGCTAGCCTGCCGAATCCTGCCACGCTCAGCGTGGGCGTACGCAAATGGTAGCGGTGGGAAATCCGTGTCGTACTCCCCAGTTCGTTCGTGTCGTGCGATGTGATGTTCGTGTCGGGTACTGGCAGGCGACAGTTGGGAGGAACATGGGTCTCACCATGCTTTGGTCTCACTGCTGCCGCCTTTGCAGGAGGGTGTCTCTGAAGAGAAGTTTTTGAAGGTTCTGCGGCAGCTCAAGGCGCTCCGATGGGTTCGGGAGTTGATGAAGACTTTTCTCCCCAGCCAAGCTCCATAGCGATGTGATTGGTGCTTGGTTGTTCTGTACCTGTGGGGTGTCTAGTGATTCTAGTGGATGTGGAGTAAAGAGGGTATGCCAGGCCGATTTGCTACAGTGAGGCGTTTCCTGACATCACCCGATTCAGTCCACATTGAGTGCGACAGCCAGACGTCCAGAAGTGTGGATGCGCCAGACGTCGGTCGTCGTTTGCAGATGTTTGTCTCGATGTGTCGAGCACCGTGCTTAGCTGCGCTGCGCATAGTGCTAGCTACATAGCTCCAGCAAAGTGCTGTTGACCAAAAACAAGAGCAGACCATCAAAGCCGTAGGCGCCGTAGGCTTGAGTACGCAAAATTCGACGTCACATGCTGCAGACAAGTACAATGATCATTTGGGTGGGAAGGAAACGCGACGAGGAGGCAAAAGCAGCAACCGGGAAACACAGGCACAACTGCCAAGCGGCAAGAACTGGAAAACGACATCGCTTCAAGCAGAAAATGATTGCTAAGGAACAATATCCATACACAATAACAGTTTTGAAGACATTCAACGTAGCACCACTCCTCCTCCTGGCAGGTTCTAGAACACATCGGCGAGAGCCACGCTTTGATGCTTGACGATGCGCAGATGGAAGGGTTGTCGTGGGCGGCAACTCTGTTTGTCTTCTATCTTGAGGGCGTGCTCACTGGTTTAGCCCATGCAGTGTTTCAACATTGACATGTCAGTGAAGTGTGCTGTGTTTTTAACAGTGAAAGGAAAACCAGTTGTTGCTGATGCGCATAAGGTTGGACAGTTTTATCCCTTTCAACTTGAACCTCTTGTTTTGGTCAAGCATGAGTGTTGTGAGTTGTGAGTCCTTCCATCCTGCTCGGTGACAAGTGCGGTGGTCCTGTGAGGCATCATGTGTAGCTTCACCTCTTTGTAAGGACACTTCAAATCGACCAGACCTGCATGAACAATGCGCAAAAGTCTCACGTGTTGTTCACCACTTGTTCCTGACCTCTCCATTTGACTCCAAGGATGATTCATTCTGCTCTCAAGCCTTTTGCCATGGAGGACGGCAGGTTCTTCGGGCACCGAAAGGTCGGTTCTTCCCCTGGTGGAGACATCCTGGTTTCAACACGATAGAACTAAAACCTGCCGTTGGAATAATCCACCAGCACATTTATCTTGATTATTAGGTTTGTTGCTGTTTGTCAAGGTTTGTTCAACAAAAGACTTCCTCAACAAAATGCATGAATGAAGTCACTATGACTATGAATCATAGAACTTGGGTCAAACACCCCATCCCAAAACCACATCTAATACCCTTTTCACACATGTTGCAAACCATGTGCAGGATTTTGTCAGGAGGCTGCAGGAGGAGCACCGCGTAGCCAGCGAGATGAAGAAAAGACAGAAGGAAGATGCTGAGAGGACGGATGCTGGGACCCCCCACCCTCATCCGCTGACCCAGCCGCCAGCAGCCGTCAAAAGCCCACCCTCATTCGTCGAGTCACTGACTCAGCTCTTTTGCTTTACCCAAAGGCCCTGACACTATGCCCTCAAAGCCCATTGGATGGTGACTGCCCACTAAGATTCAGGCTTTGTTGCCTTCTCTCGACAGTTTCGGTTTCCCTTGCGGACACGCACCACTTGGGTATGGTACGACATCCAGGTAGGCCTCACGAAGAAGATCCCATCCAAGTGAGCCTATTGGACAGTGGCCCATTTGGATCATGTGGGCATATATATATATATATGTTGTGCATGTATTGGTTCTTGCAAGCGACAGAGGCATGAGAAGGAACGGCGCCGCCGCTTGGCAGAATCCTTGAAGATCGACAGCCGACCCCGGGCGGAGAAGGACCGATGCACTGGCTGCACGGGGTGGTCTGCTCTTCAAAAGACAAGTGTGACACATATCTCTAAATGAACATCGCGTGGAACAAGGGTGAGTGGACAGTGACATGCAAGGAGGCCCAACCCAGGAAAACCATCGGTAGAGGCCTTTCAAGTGCAGCATGTTGCATGGTAGATGCAGGTTTGGAACAGATCACCACGCCCAGCCCTGTGGTGTTCCTCGGAGTCCGTTCTGAAAGCTTGTTTTTGCAGGGCTGAAAGCGTTCACAGAGTTTTCACTTTGTACAGTAGAGCCGCTTGGACACCCGATGCCCTCCCGTCGCGTCCGATAGCCCTCCCTCCGTGTCTGGCGTCATGCGACTCCCTGAGCCCAGATGGCGGGCTCGGACCATGGAGCGATCGGAGATGGGATATGACTGTGTATTTAAAGGGGGAGACACCCAACAAATGGGTAGACGGGTGATGTTTTCATTCTTCCCGGAGCTTTTGAGGCCATAGCCATTCTAAAGGACGAACCATGGTTGTAGGGACGCCCAGTCGCCGGCAGGAGATCAAGGCTTGGTTGGAACAGGCCTCCCAGATGGAGGCCCGAGGAGAGACGTTGGTCTTCTGTCAGTTGGCCATGTCAAGTAAAAGACAGTCATTTTTTAAACATGTCCTTTTTCAATCTTCTTCCAAAGAAGCTACGTTCGGGGCTCCTGGCATCGCTACTAGGAGCAAGGATGCTACTAGGGGCTCCTGGCCGTACTAGGAACAAGTAGCTACTAACAAGAAGCCGCCAGGAAGCAACTCTGGTGACCGAGAAGTGGGCACGTTTGGCGCGCGCGGACCACCGAGTGGGGGTGGTGAAAAACCGGTCAAAGACCAGTTTGGTGAGGAATTATTCGGAATCATTCATGTGATGATCATGGACACCTTGCGTATTTTCAGGGTCGTAATCTTGTGTCGTAGACCACTTGTATGGTCATTTTCTACCTCTACGACGTCAACGACGTCAACGCAGAAAGATCATCGGACCCATTTCTTGGAGCAGGACCCAGAGCAGGCCCCATGGGGGTTACAAGTCTCCATCGACGAGTCTCTCGTCGTTGCTGAGGCTCTGGCGAGTCGAAGACGCAACTTCGGGATTATGCCTGAGGCCCTGAGGAGACACCTGGAGGCGAAACGAGCATCGGAGACATCTGTTTCGGCTTTCCAGCCTGGCCGAAACAATCAGTTGAAGGAAGCATGACTTGAACACGCGGTTGGAGTTTTTTCGTCCTGCCCATGTGGTTGGGTTGACAGGGTAGCACCCTGTTTGTCCGGTGCAACGCACCGCCATGGGTCGGTTTGTCTTCCACTCGTCTTGCGGTTTGCTCCCCTTGTTGTGTCTGCGGCATTTACAGTGCTTCGACTGGGTCAGACGAGTTCCAACCACCTCAGACGGCTCTTTCAGAATGTCGCCACTGCAAGTGCGCCATGATGGACAAGCAAAACCTCCCGTCCGAACGACCCGAACGAGTCCGATGCCACGGTTGGTCGCTCGTGGGTGCCACCTTGAAATCAGCGTTTTGCAGGGTCGATCTTTTCCAAGCGCGTGACAGATCGGATGGTTGTTTCAAATACCAACAGATTTCTCATGAATGATCATGTTCAACCGTTCAACCGTATTTTTTCCATGTGGAACAGTCATCTATGTTTTCTCATTTTCTGTTCGTTGGGTCCTTGGCCTCGAGGTCTCTGTCCTGGAAACCTTGATCAAGTCCAAACGGGCAAACATCGAGGAGTGCGCACTCCGCTGCAGACGTGTTTGACGTCAAAAAGCGTTTGGTGATGTTTTGTGTGAAAGTGTTTGTCCAGTCACAGCTGGTTTGATGGGAACTGCAACTTCTTAAAGGCTCTTTCTAAAATTACCGCTCATGATATGTCGGCTTCAGGGTATTTCTTGGCCTCACCTCTTCGTCAAGATGACCCAAGTCGGTGGCTTTGGGACGAACAAGACTCTGTACAAAGGTCTATATATATCATCCTCCTTTTCCTCTTCGCCCTTTCACACGCTGTGCGACAGCGCGACAGCGCACTGCCTCATCACGTGCAGGAGTTAAGACTGCGGCTGGAGCGAAATGGTGCGGGAGACTGGGGGCACTGAGCCGGGCGACCGGGCGAAACGTCAAGGTGCGTGGTGGTTTCCTTTTGGATTTTGTCTTTGTATGTCAGGCGTAGACGAACGGACCAATATGGTAGGTACAAGAACTTCGACCGGTCTTTTTCTTCGACTTCCTCACTCGGAACGGATCGGTCTGACGGTGAGAAATCAGCTGCCCCACCAACGTCGGGCAAGACCATGCAAGACCCGATACTCATAGCAAGCGAATTGCTGATATCTGGACGAAAGGCCCTGGTGATGTCCGAACAGAAGCACGCCCCTGAAATGAACCAACGGCCTAACTGCCTCGGGTACCAACTTGTGCTGTCAGAAGCACGCCTTGTCAGGCGAAAGAAAAGGACATCAATGACATGTCTGATGGTCAGGAAGAATGAGCGACCCATCACCCTCACCCAAGGCCGAACGAGGCAGCCTCTCTTTGTGCCTCTCCGCATCGCCAGGTGTTGCGGAAGCGCCCCGAATTCCCGCAGGCGACGAAGCTGGGTGATCCGGGAGACTTGCTGGGATGAAGGCATGGCAGGGGATTGATAGACAATTCGAATTAAAGTACTTGGTCCACCAGGCTCCCCCGGTGTTGACCCACAACCAAATGAACGCTTCTGACTGAAGTTCGGAACAGTTTTTCCAAAGACTCTTCTCGATCTTCATGTTTTTCATCAAAGCAAATGCTCAGGAGAGAGGCACTTGATTGACAGCTCTGCCAGCCCTAGCAAGCCTGAGCACCCAGAGCGTATGTTGGATGCCATGAAGTACTCCTAATTTCTCTCTGTTCAATCATTGAAGTCGCAGGAAAGTGTGACAGCTCAGTCCAGAGCAGGATCATGCTGAAGCCACCTCCACCTCCCGGAGGTTTGCATGACTTCCTGCACTCCAACAAATGAAATGACAATTCAAATTGCTTTGTTTATTTTTTCTATTGAATTGAAGCTAAACAGACTGTTTTTCTGCTACACTGCCGGGCGTTGGTCCAGGTTAGTTCCATCATACTTCATCACTTAACATGTCAATCCCTTACAGAGCAGGGTTGGACCCTGGAAGGAACAGATGGTGCTTTTCTTTTTTAAAAAGAGATTCCTTGAACCCCTCTCAGACGCGCCGGCCATCTGAAAGCAAGAGCTTCATCTTCCGGCTGATCCTGCGACCACGTCGATCACGTCGACCTCGCCGGTCCCTCCCAGGCTGGCGCCGGTGCCCGGCCGCAAGCTCCACGCGGCGGTCGCTCCGGCGGCCTCGCCCGTGGCGCACTCGCCCGCGGCGTCGCCGGCGTCGCTGCGTGGGGGAACTCAGGCGGGGAGAGACCTCCGAGTGGGAAGAATGAAGAAAGATCTTAGAAGAGTGAGATGATGTGAGGTGGTTTTAACTTGGACTCTTGGGTCTTGTTTGTGTCAAGAGGAAGCTGTTTGAGCCTGGAGGCCTGGAGTGTCAACCTAGAATTCAATGTTGGAAGACGTCAGGTGAATGTGAGCTGTAGCAAACGCAGGCTTCGTCACACATGTGACCACAGGTTGGATGGAGGCTTCATCACACATTGGGGGACAACAGGTTTCCAATGCGCTCAGATCACCTTCCGGGAAGCCGTCGGACTTTGAGACGAGAAGAAGCTCCCACCATGTTTTGCTGAGGCCCTGATGACACCATGTGCCTTGGCACTGAGTAGTACTTGGTCGCATCCCCGTTGGCCCTTGTGCCGACCAACGGCAGTTTGTTCTTCCTCCGGGCCGAGCACTGCAGGCACTCGGAGCACCGCACCATGCAGGCCGAGCGGCTCCTGCAAGCCGCGGCCCACGGGCGGCCCACGGCGGTGCAGAGGCGGGGGAGGGGTGGAAGAGGGCCACCAGTTGGAAGCGTGACCTGGCATCAGAGGAGTTAGCTTGAAGGAATATGGTTTCTCCTTTGTGTCAATCAGGTCTGTTACTGGCCAAAAGAATCCCAAATCCAAAGACCCTCATACCGAATCCCCTACTAGTGAAGAACAGGCGCAACGAAGCATCTCAACCGCCAAAACCGCCGAAACGGCAACGGCCAAAATGGCCAGGTGCCTCACCAGCCGTGCCGACATCAACGCCGTCGCGTGGAGCGGAGCCATCAGCCAAGCGTACTGTTCGTGACCACATTTTGTTGGAACTCATGACATTTTACCACATCTTTGTGTGAATTCTTAATTGCTGCATCTCGCCTGCCTCGTTCCTTTCCTTTCCCTTTTATTCCTTTCACTCGCTCACTCCCTCACACACTCGCTCGCTAGCTCGCTCGTGACAATGTGTTCACCTTACTTCACGCCTCCGCTCACCATCCTTCCGAATGCTTACTTCATTTGCTGTCACTTCTCTTCCTTCTCTTCGTAGGATCTCATATGGCAGTCTCATATTTGTGTGCTGACGTGTGTGTGCTCACCTGTGTGCACTCACATGTGTTTGCTCTCAGATGCGTGCCCTTGCATGTGTGCTCTCTATTGCATGCTCTCGCATGCGTGGTGCATTTGTTGTGCTGAACACTATTTGGGGTATCTCGTCGGGACATTTTTTTTTCTATATCATATATTGTCATGTGTTCAAGGTTCTTGACCTGGAAGGAGATGCCTCTCATCAAGCGAGGTTCTGCTGACGCAGTGTTGTCGGCTGTGGCTTTGCTGCGTTTTGCTTTCGTTTTTGCAGCAAATGCTGGACCCTCCAAAACGACCAGCTCGAGAGGGAACTGGGCTACCGCGCTTGTATATATTCTGTATATATAAAAATAAATATATGCTAGCCCTCCTACTACCATATATATATATATATTGTTGTTTGTCAGTGTTAAGGCCAGTTTGTCAAAGAGATCCCGAGTCCCAGCGTCACGTTGTTGCATTTGGCATAGGTGGCCCACGGTGCGGCAAAGTTGCCGTTTGGAAACCGGAAACAGCGTGCGTTTGTATGTACATGAATGCTCGA